AGGTTATGTGAAATTATTGTACAGTGAAATCTAGATAAAAGTCAGATAACACTCTTAAATGGAGCCCCTAGAAATACGTTTCTCTCTGGTGGTGGTTCCTGCCACTGAAGCTTCGGCAATTAAACAACAGCAAAAAACACATTACTTACACTGCCACAATGCATAAGATACAATATGCATTAACATGAATGTATAAACAAATTATACAATATGGAAAGGTGTCTATTACATGGGGCAGATCACAGCTTAAATTATTTTTCACATCTACATCTTTAAATACCTAAACATGTCAGAAAATCAAAAAACAGTCTAAGATATATCACCAATGTGCAGTGGTGAAAGATAAAAATTTGGCACTTTGCCATTGCTGCTATATTATGTGTTAAAGAAGAAGATATGTAGGCAAAAACAAATAAAAATAGCATATGGCCTGGTATATTGCCTTCCGGCCTAGGTTTCACTATCGGAATGTATTCCAACAACCTCACTGCAAAATTCTGGAGCTACATACTAGATAAATGGTTAAGCTTTCCAACCTTTAAAAATCAAAGCTTTTACAAGAAACCCTCTGGGGTCGGCATGATACAATTTCTATTCTCAAAAATGTGCAGAATTAAAAAACTGATCCCACTGTGCCACATCATTTGTCCCCCACCCCCAGTTCACTGCACCTTGAATGTTAAGCTCAGTACGTTAAGGCGATAAAGGTCCCTTCTGTTCCCAGAGCCAATTAAATTAGTTAATATTGCAGATACGGTGCGTGTTATTGGTTCACACACTCTGCCTACTAAGACACCAGAGGAGGGATGCAGCTTTGGAGAAAGGCCAGATTTCTTATGACGATATAACATCAAGACAAGTAAAGAAACTTCAGCCCTGAAGCCACCTGACATCAAATCTTTGTCACGTATTTTTTTGAGTTGAGCAGGATGACTAATATTTTCCAGCTCAGACAGAGTTTGCTATCTACTGGATTCAAGTTGGTGACAACTGCATGTACAATGTTGCCCTGTGTCAAAATCTGATGGAGTGCAACCACATTACATCAGGTGTATGACTACATCTACAATGTGACATGATTTAATGTTGATTGGGTAGGAAATGTGGGTGTACGATAGATGCAGAGAGCGAGCTTGACTACAGGAGGATGGTAGAGAGACTTGGAGACAGGAGAACATCCAGGCACTGCTTGATTTTCTATTCAGTAAGAGCTGGTGGAGGCTGTGGCAATTCTCTTCCCAATGTACACCCTAGAAAAAAGGAGAAAAAAAAGGCAGAAAATGAATGAAATTGAACCAGCTGAACAAAATGCAAAACTGCATATAAACATTTTGGAAACAGTGAAAATGTAGCAATAAAATAAAACTACTAATCCGTATTAACGGATTTTGGTTATGGTTAATATACATATTTTTCTAAACATCAATAGAAATATGATATCCTAAAATAATAAGGTTGCAGGGAACAGCAGCTTCTTATTCAGTTTCTGGTTCCTATTCTGTTCTCAAGCATTTGAGGGCCAAAAGCAACACTGAATATTAGCATTCAAGAAGCCTAATAACAATAATTACACTTGCTGTGAATATGAAAATCTTTGTATTAAAATCTATGAAACACACCATTTGTTTTTATGCATTTTAAAATTAATTTATCAGTAATAAGTACAAAAGAAATAAATGTAAGAATGCTGAATATTAGCTCTGATAGCTGGCCATGCTAACAATCGTCCGACCTCTACATCATTTGGGGCTGATTTGCTGCAGACTGTGTCATCGGCCTGTGGAAATTAACCAATTTCACCACTTTCCCTGTTAAATAAGTGGCCCCATTCTGACCAGGCAGACCGAGGCCATAAATTGCAGTCATCTCTGTCACTAAAACAGCTGTGCACTGATAAACTGACCCCTTACAATGGCACATCATGAGTCAGCAAAGTACCAAACTGGTGCAAGCGAACAAAAAACACTGACATGCCCTGGGGTAAACATAAGTACGCCACCACAAAGGACATAAAGCAAGACAGAACTGCACAAATTCAAACTTACCCAAGACCAAGAGCCAGGATGTGTGAGATGAGTAAGGAAGGGATGAAAACTTTGAGGAATTCAGCAGAGAAGATGCCACCTTTCTTCATGACCCCACTCTTTCTCATACTGAGAGATACCGAACGTCTGGGGTGCCTGAAGTGGAACTCCCTGAGCAGGATAATCAGTTAACCAATTAATAATTCAAAAAATTCCAAACACAACTGATGGTCTAGTAGTTAATGATTCTTGCACTAAATATCTGCTTACTTTGGTGGAATGTTTTCTGGTCTGCTCGACCAATCAGCGACCCAGTCTACTTCTTTGTTCATCAAGATGTCTTCCTCTCTGTCCCTCTCTAGACCATCTTCCTCTGACTGCAAATGTAAAAGTAAAGCAATTAGATAAACGAAAACACTCGAAAAGGGGTTGAACATTACAGTTTAATATGCAGCTTTACCTGACTACCTCTTGGGCTGGACATCTCCACATCAAACGTGATCTGACCCTCATCCTGCTCTGGACTTGGTGGCCTGTGAGGACTAAATCAACACATTAAGATGAGAGAACAAAAAAACAGTCTAACAATGAGCTCTCGTTTGACCTTTTAAAGAGCAAATCGTGACCTTTACGCCTACCTATCGCAGGAGGAGTTACTCGGACTAGATTCATGCTGTGCATCCAGGAGGATCTTTTCCATGTCTCCATTGTGGATGGAGGAGGATGATGGCACATGCTCTAGTCCTCCGATCAGGGTTTCATCGCTTTCGGGCACCACTTCTAAGGTCTGCATTGTTTGACTCATGCCAGCATTCGCGTTTATTTGGTCTGCAGCGGGTGGCATTAGCAGGCTGGTCTGCCCGCCCTGGGCCCCTGTATTCCCATTCAGCTCCAGCTCTACCCAGGAGCCTTGGCAACATAAAGAACAAGAGCATGAAAGGAAGAGAAATTAGGCTTGTTGTGTTAAACCTAACAGCTGTTTGTGCACCACGCAGACACACACCTCTGTTTTTTGTGAGATGAAACAGCTGACCCACATTTCCTGCACCACTGACACTGTGCATTCAAATGAACTGCCAGTGCACTGCATCCATGATCGCATGCATCTCTTTGTGCCACTGCCCCACAAACAGCTCATACTTTCCTTTTTTTTTTTCGAGACGAGGGGGGAGTTATGCAATCTCCTAAAGCCTGCAGGCTTGGGTGAGCACAGCATGTTAAACCTTGTGACTGCATGAGACGCCCTTTTACCGATTTGGGCTGCTGGGTGAAAACACAAATCAAATTTCTGCAGATCGCACGTAAACATGACCGACATCACATTCACAGATCGAGTTTGCCGTCAATGTTGCTCCCGTGTGAGGTCTTGCATAACTGTGGTACGAGACAGTTTGCCCAGACATGTCGCTGTTCCAGCTGTGTCACATGCAAACCAAGAAACGTCCCGCTATTCTGCCCCAGATAATGTTTAACTACAAAAATACACAGTTCATCGATTCGAGCCTGAACACACCTTCTGGGGGTTGGAATGTGTTTTTGGAGCCATTTGTCTACAGGCATTTAGGAAAACATCCGCTGGCTTCCTTTGAATTGACATTTAATCAAAAAGACAATAGCCTGTTGGATAAACAGTCTTCCACACAACTCGTCCGAGTGATACGATCGATTATCAGAAAATAAAAAAAATAAAAAAACAACGGCAGACAAACAGAAAATGTATTTAGCCTTTTGTCCCAAACTTGTTTTCATTTCGGCTTGAGCCCGCCCAACGCCGATGCTTGTACATGATTGGCCCACGACGTATCAGTCAAACATTTGTCGCAACGCAATTGGCTGCCTGGCGGTGACGTCAAACAACATCACCCTCAACCCCTCCCAGAAGACGAGGAAATTCCATCCCCGATGTAACTTTTACAATAAAACCTTCATTACAATAATATTCTCACAAATACACGCTTTCGCTAAGAGCACACAGAGTAGCATTGGTAACACGGAGCACGGAGAACCTGCCGACAGTACGTACCGTGGAGCCCGGGCTCTTCGTTATTGTTTTGTTGAGCTGCAGCGGTGGACATGTTGACTACCCAGTTTTAGCATTCAACATGACACGCAATAAACTACGATGTGCGCAGGCGCAAAACCCGTCCAGCTTCCAGACCATTGACTGTATATCAGGAGGTCCAGACAGGCTGCAGGTCTGTGATGGCCATTGTTTTTTCCTTTCAAATAGATTTTTATTCAACAGTCAACACAATCGTTTGTTGCAAATGTACATGACTCAACGATTTAACACAGTCTTTTTTTTTTTTTTTTTTTGCAATAACAGTAAGAAAAAATAATGTTTTTCGCATAAAGTAGAAATATTTGTGCAGTAACATGGAGTCTGTTTATGACTTATGCACATATATACAAATATGAGCTGTGCCCTGGTCAACTGCCATGCTGTGTTTCTGAGTCATCTGAGTCTATGGAGGGTTTATGGAGGACTGATGATAGTAATAAGGTCGACCCCTATCACCTCCTGTTACTCACTTGGCAAATAAATGCTGTTACCTGGCTGGACGTAGCTCTTAACGTGGGCAGGAGGGCACATCCATTAGTAGTACATGCTGTAGATTAGTAGAGGATGGGTCTGCACTGTTATATTCTTGCTGAATTATGAATGGCTTGTTGTTTTAAAGAGGGAGATGGTATTGCCCTCCACATGTGCTAGGAACCTGTTCTCAAACCTGATCCATCCACACACTGTTTCAGAAAATACATTTCTCAAATCGATGAATTAGTGTATCTGTTTGCAGAAATCTGCACAACTTGCAACTCTGAGTTAGCAACTTGGTGATCAAACAGGCCTAAAATAAGCATCATGTTCTGATAATGTATTACAGGTACACTGCAGTAACGAAAGTGTTATGTTGATGGGAAAGCTCCACATTACTGTATGCACACAGTACATAATAAAACAGTATAGGCATTTTGTTCAGAAGTCAGGTTTGAAATTCTTTATTACTTTTCATCTAAACTGTACTTTATTCCATTTGACAAAGACAAACAAAGCTGTACAATGAACCATTCGTAGTTTTTCCCTAACAGATCACCAAAACTCTTACAATCTTTACTCGAGAGCCCCTTAAAGAAACAACCAAAAAACATACAAATTAATGAAATTCACAAAAATAAAAGTGCATTTTATTTTTTTAACTCCTGTGATACATTAGACATGTATATAATGCTGCTGCAAGTGGAAAAACCTCATAACTCCAATTTTGACAGTTTCCTTGAGATTTTGTGATGTTTTCTACTTTATGGAGGGCAAGCTTAGTTAGCCATTACAGAAACTTGAATTGTTATTATTATTTTTTATATAAAGGATGATTCACCTGTAAATAAGGCAGTTTTTGTTAAGAGTCCTGAAAAGCTGCTTTCTTGAAGGTACAAGGTTTTGATCACAGAGCAGCGGTAAATTCCCCTGAGCAGTCTCCTGTCTGGCACGCCAGAAACTTCAAGAAACATACTTGATTATCTTTTTTCTTCTTAATGCTATAAGAAAGGCAATAGGGTTCGTCGGAACATCTTTGTGGTTTACGCTATAGCCTTGATCAATAGCTACTGTATGAAGACGAGATGAGGGGAAAGAGAAAAAGATTGTTGGTTAGTTGTTTTTTCACGAATGTCAGTAACTGTTTTTTTTTTTTAGTAATGCTGCAATGGTCATACAGTCTGATGCCCATCTCTGCTGTCTGCAAAGATGAATATTTTCCAAAAGCCAATGATACCTCAAGATTTTTTTATTTTTTATTTCTTTAAAGCTAACTTGCCAGTTTCAATGCAGCACTATTTTATTCAGGATAACAGTTATTTAAAGGTGAGTAAGTAGATGCTCAATTGGATGAATGATAGGACAAGGCTGACCACTGATCTCATTTTGAATGAATCTCTCTTCATGCTAACTGGGGGCTAACTGATTGGATCCTTTACCGTGGAATGGGACAAAGGTGCCACATTATACAGGTTTACACATATATGACACGACTCAAATGACATGAATCACCTTCACAGTTTTGCATTAGACAATAAAGCAAAGAGTTTTTGTTTTGTTTTCAAAAGGTTGCAAAAATTAAGGAAAAAAAAATAAAAAGATTAGCAAAGTATCTTGTTACGAGAAGACATTACCCAGAGCCCTGAGAGGGTGTCACTCTACAGTAGTTAAATAGGTGGTTAGTTGTTGGCATCTTAGTGATTAGAAAACCATTCTCTGACGTAAGAGTGACACTTACAAATATGATCCAGTGGACCAAGAAGCTTCGTGCCCTGATTTAATGGCTTAAAACATAATTTTAATGAAATGAAAAATTGTGCTATAATCAAGCTGTTTGCTCCAGAATAGAATAAGACTCTCTTCATTACAGACATTTCACGTTTCATAAAAGTAAAAGAACAGGTGAAACAAAGTTCACTAATGACAGAGCCAGGATGCACAATAACCAGGACCCTGATAGCAGCTCACCTAAATGGAATGCAGCCGTTAGCATCGACACCTGCGCTTTTCCTGCTCTGACGATCCAAAATGTCTGCTCTGAAAAAGTTCGACTGGCAGCATTGGACTGAATCATGATGTTGCAAAGAAACAGCAAAATTTAATGTTTATGAAGTTTTTTTTTTCCCTCCTTGTCCAATACAGTCATTTAAGACCACTACTATTAAACAATAACCTGCAAGTGCTTCACAAATTCTCCTGTTTAAATAAGCAAGTCTGTATAGGAGAGCTGCACATGCGTCACAGGAGAGAGAAGACGTTTCATATTTCAAAATCAGCCACTCTGCCGTCTAGTCAATTGCCTTGACTAGCTGCAGAGAACTTGATTTAACAGTTTTAACAATACACGTTGATTAAATATGCCTTTCCAATGTAGACCCACGAGGGCCCATTCATTCACAGCGAGCAAAAATGATTCATTAAACAAAACCATGGCACAGAAACAGAACGTTAAGATCTAAATTAACTCAGAATGTAACTCTGAAGCATCCAAAAAAAAAAGTTCTACATAAACAACAGTTACAGTCGGCCAAATAAAAAAACAAAAAAAAAAAAAAAAAAAAAAAAGAATACAGTTATAGTGCTTATCACTACAGACGTACTGACACCTGAAAATACTTTTCTTTGGACATCCCACATCAGAAACGACACACTTCCTTGATGTCAAAAAAATCTCTAGCTTTCAAACAAATACCTGCCAGGATGAAGAAAATGTCCCAAAGCCATGTGACAAAAAGGTTACCTGGTTATTAAGCAACCTCCCATCTACAATCAGTCAGACAGCTAAAGAAACTACAGTGATCAGACTGTAATCCTATTGCCTTAATTTATACAAAAATAAATCAGCTATAGTGATTATTCTTCTTTTTATCAGGTACAGTACAAAACATCATATAAAATAAAACAAAAAGTCTACAAACAGAAACTAGATCCAGAGAGTAAAGCGATCGATCAATCTGCAGCAACACAACAGGCTTTGCGGGGAAGCTGGCAGCAGCACTCAGTTTTGGTGCCACAGACCACAAAAGAATGAACACACCATTACGCCCTTCCACGTATATAAGCTTTTGTCCTGAGCTTTATATGGTTGTCTACACATGTGCAAGAGTGACCAGTCGGACCAGAGGCACCTTGTCTGCAAGACAGCTTGAAATGAATACATGTTCAGAGTGTATAGGACTGGTTACTTTGGCATGATTAGCCACCATTTAACTCCCAAAACCACAATACCTGACAAGTGTGTGTGTGCCCGCCAGTCTTATATCCATGTTAAAGGACTACGCTGGCGTTTACGACTAGAAATTACATTTACATTACTGCTGATCATTTCTCTAAATGTAGCCATTTCAATACACTATGAAAATCAACTTAGCGTCTATATTATTGAACAGTGAGTCAAGTTTTGGTGCAGCTGAGAACAGGAACTGTTTTGAAAACCGAATGCTCAAATGTTCGGGACACTCGAAAGCTGCGGTTTTGACATTTAGCTAATTAAAAGCAATAGTATTTACAAACAGAGATCCTAATCCAGAAGATGAACATAAAGACACACAGATGTTGTTGTGAGGAGAAGGTGAAGACAGTAGATTTTAGGTAACTCTCTTTTAGTGTCAAATGTTACAGTTTACTTGCTTACTGCTGTGTAACCAAAAAATTATTTTGATGTAGTCAAAGACGACAACAAGTTCACGGTAATAGAACTCATGTGCAGTCAATTTTAAGTAAGTTGGCATTTTTTCTGTAGAGAAATTAATGTAAAGCAGTGGCTGCTTTAAAGTTAAAAATGATCTAATAAATATTTGTACATAGTGGACAAATGTTAGCAGTAATGTAAGTTATATGCCATTCTCAGAGAATGAGCTAAAACACGGTAAAACACTAGATTAGTCCTTTAACAGCATAATCATACTGTACATTAGCAAAAAAAAAAAAGAAGTGGTGAGTGAACTTGGCAACTTGACAAATACTGGACAAATCGAGTGGAGTGTCGACAGCTTGTATTAGAAGTGTTTCAGGCCAGTACGAAAAGGAACTTGGTGACAGCAAGACATAAAAACAGTAGAAAGAATTTCCTATTCAAACTAGTAAAACATGGTAGCTACAAAAACTTAACAATTGGTAGCTATGACGTAGAAGTGAATCATGTCACGATGGCACAAAAGAATAATGAAAGAAACTAACCAAATATGTGTATTTAACATATTTTCCCTTTGGTTTGGGATGTAGTGGAGTTGCAAATGGTAGCTTGTTAAATGGAGTGCTCCTAATGGAGGAACCCGATGACACTAAATCCCGAAGTCTGGACTCTAAAAACCCTGCATGTTTACATTTGCAATAGAAAACTGTGCATGTGATGGCCTGGTTGGATGTACTCTGGTAATGCCACTGCTTCTTGTTGACGTACTAGGTGTTGTCAGACACACTAAGGGTAGATCTTATCAAGATTTAGGGATTTAGCTAAAAACAGACAGCTATTGTTTATATTGGTATATCAGAGCAATGGGGCTCAAGCAGAAACTGGGATCTGAGCGGTTCAACAAACGCTAGTTCAGCTTTTCCTGGAATATGTACAGATTGTTGGTGGTGGCCACAGCGATGATGTTGTCCAGAGGATGCCAGGCAGTGTGGAGGATCTTCTTGTTAAAGTCCAGACTGTCTACACTGATCTCATCCTTTTTGCGCTTCCCACCTGTGCTTACTTTGCGAGGTTTCAGGACCGATCGCGGCTTGCTGTTTTCCCGCGATGCTTCAAGGGTCATGTCCTGCCGGTAACCTCTGTCGAACATCCTGAAGAAGTTGTTGTAGGAACCCGTCATCACAACACTGTGGACAGACAAGGTATGAGTGAGTCAGGCAGCAAACTGAGCAACATCTGTCTCTACATTAACCTCAAAATAATCTTAGGAAAAATAAAGACAATGAAATAAAACCCAGAGGTTTACTGTTCTTTGTCATGAGCCACCACAAGAAGCATGTACAGAACAACCCCTGTGCCACCCACACAAAATCATGAGCAGCCTTACGGTCTGCACTGAGCTGATAACCCCAGCAAGTGATAAGGTTAGTGTTACTGAGGTCATTGGTGTCAAATAGGCAGTCTGCCCAAAATGTCTGGGTGTGTTATGCATTTTGTGTGTCTGGTGATGGGGATTTTTACAAATTCAGAACTGCATTAAAGTTCACAGAGCAGTCGTTCTCTTGATGACAAGCTTATGCTCACTGGACAGTAAGAAACAGTTTCTCACCTGTCGTTCCCATTCCAACAGCACTCAAACTTGTCGAAGATGCAATCGTTCTCATAAAGTGAACACAGCTTACTCCTGAGATATTCATGCACCTGTTAAAAGAAAGCAATGAGGAGGTGATAGAGTTATAGTCAACAGCTGTGCGAAAGAGAAACATTTCAAGAGGCCTCGATATTTTCATTATGACTTATGTAAAGTGCCTCAGTATGGTGCAGAGACAGAAGAATGTCAGTCTTCAGGAGCAAAACTGATGAAGAAACTTTAACAGCACTAATTTTGTCGAAAAATGACAGTGGTTACAGACCTGATATGTCTCTACTGGTCGAGTCTCCATGTTGAGATCCCAAATTTTGACGGATAAGTAGTCCCGGGTCATCATGTAGCGTCCACTATGGCTGAACTTTACATCAGAGATGGATGAGATGATTTCAGAGAAGAATGAACGATTGTTTGGATCCTCTGGCTCTTCAAACACTGAAAAAAGAAAAAGATGT